TGGCTGGAGATTTTTTGCAGACGAGTTGAAGAAAAATCTTTTTTGCAAGTTACTTATTAGCATAAGGACATGACTAATTCGAAAATATCTCATCTCAGGTCTTTTCCGTTACCGAGATAGGCGGCATTATCCGTAAAATAGCTACCTTTCCTGCCGGCTACTTATAATCATACCTTTATGAATAAAATACCCATAAGTAGCTCGGGTACAGTATAGAGACATGTGGAAATAATTCGAATGCAGTGAAGACACCCTTAACCTTAAGCAACCTTAAACACCCCAGACACCCTTTTTTCAAATTATTATAATCATAGGAACATCCTTTTACAAAAGTAATTATGTATTCTGATAGCGCATGAAATTTTCTATCATTCCACCAGTCACTTTCACGGTATCAAAATTACAGTCACTTTTTTTCGTGACCATAAATCAAAAATACGGTGTGCCACTATTTATTTACAGGCTAATAAATGGTTACAACATACATGTATCTGTGCTCTCTATTTAGTCTCACTCTCGAACGTTTGTTGCCTTTTATGTTGCTTGCTTTGTTTTTACATAAAGTGCACGGAATTTAAAGTTCAAGTGAACTTTATTTTCGGCTTTATTATTCGGATTCGCCGCCTCAAGCTGGTCATGAATAACACCTTCCCAGATTCTAAAAACCCTTTCTTTATGCAGAAACTGCGAAATACTGAAGACTCTCAAAAACTTTTACTACAGAAAAACACCAATTTTTCCTACTTCCTCCAATTTTAGGCTTCGGAACTTATATTTTTGGGATTCAGTATTCAAAACCGAATAAAACTGAAAACAGTCTTCAAACGGTTTAGGAACCGGACGTCGAGTCAGCAAGACTGTCCAAACGTATGCCTCTCAAAAACGGTTCTCAATTTTGCAAAGCTAACAGAGCTTTCTGTGTGAGGTCTGGAACCGCAATTCACACATGACTAGATTCGCTGCAAGCTAAGCTTCAAAAGTATATCGCTATTTATGAAAAATATAATAATAGAAAATTCATTTTTTCTAAATAAGAGATGAAAAACTCGGAATTCTACCCGTCATTCTCAATTTTCTCGATCAGAACTGAACTTTTAGCAAAAAAATATCATATTCGGAATCAGGATCAAAAATTGAGTCGATTGATATGACTTTCTATCCTATCCGACTACTTTGCTTTTTTTCGAATTTTCACGTTGAAAAGTTACCGAGATTTTCATTCAGGATTGAAAATCAACCGAAACTTGCGAGATACATATCAATCGACTCAGTTTTTGATCATTAATTGAGCTTTTATTAGTCACAATGGGAAAAAACAAAACCCTGAAAGGCAAACACATCAACTAATCATGCACAATACGACTTCTGTCCAATTAAAATTTGGAAACAAATTTAGAGTAGATTATGATAGCTTTCGACAAACTATAACAAAACGTACAAAGAAATATATACACACCAGAAAAATTGCGCCCAGACGACCCTCACCCTCACTTAGAGCTGTTTGGCATCATGTCAGATCCTCTAACCATTTGAGCTACGGACGAAAAGCCGAACCGTGTTAATCCTCTGTTTTATATGATGACCGATAGTGAAAAACATTTGTAAGCACTAAAGTCAGAGCTTTTCCATTAAAGTCACTTTTAAACAACTTCCTGGAACAAGAAGATACACTATTAAAATTGATAAGCAATGGATTTAACACTGTTGACATCGTAAATCTGATCGTTCGAAAATAACCATGAAACAAGAGCAAACTCTCAAGTAGAAAACGAATATCAGCTATCGAGTGATATAGTTAGCTAATACGATACATTACTAGACTTACCTAGCTAACTCAGTATCATTGATCATATAGCTAGCTACGGTAGTCCGATATATTACTAGATATATCGGCGGTCGAATTACTCACCTCTTGTTTTACAACCCCAGTACCCATATATGTAACACATATACTTTACAAATTTACAAAGTTTTATTGATATCAAGTCAATACATTGAGCAATAATAGACTGATATACCGGGAAATATTGCTTCTGTAATATAGTACAGGATGTTTGGATACAGACATCTCAAAATGCCATATAGACTGTATCCTTCGTGCTGTCAGTACATGAGTATACAAGCAATAACTGATCAATATATCTAATTTCACAGCTGATGGCGCAGTGGGATCAGAGTCCGCAAAAGGGGTATAATCGATCAAAATAACGGCTAAATAACTACTATAATCAGTGTTTTTTGTCAACCCAATATATCGGGTACAATATCTAGTCGCTAACCATCATACCCGATATATCTAGCTAACTTATCGGCGGTATGGATATCGGGTACCACAAGCCGATATTGCCCGACAGCATATTTCAAGAGCTCGATATTCTCAAGACGCTTTTTTGCTTGGGGCTCTTATTAATATTTCATATTTTGAAAAACAGCAGAAATTATGGAGAAGAAAATCATCGATCTTGCAGAACAAATTTATCCACAAACTTATATTCAACGGATGCATCGCTCTTCTCCAGCTATCACTATCTATTTCTTCAAAAAGATCCAACATCTAAAGGATACTTGTTAGTTCTTATTATGTATATTTGACAAATATCATGAATACGAGGACTATACCTCTGATTCATAATGAGTAAGACGATTGGAAAGAAGCAGAGTAAAAAAGAGTGATTGTGTTCTAATTGAAGAATCTGTTGAAGATGAATACGAAATGACATATCAGAAAGAAGAAATCAAATCAGCTCAGAGGAAATATGACATTAAAACGATACAAGTTGAATAAAATCGTTAGCAAAGAGCAGAGTAATCATCGGTTGTTACTGCGAGAGTTGTGGCTATATTGAATAGAGTGCCGGTTTTAATGGATTTGTACAGTTTGCTCTTTGTCACTCTACCAACTTTGAGCACTAATAACATTTCAATCACTAAGAACTTTGAGTATCTAGTCGATCTATTCTCCTCCCAGGCAGTGGTTTCTACGTCACTCTCAACGTTCTCAGAGTCCTGAATACTCTCAGTGTATGCAAAGGTCCTCATATTCTGCAAAGTTCTATACCGCAGTCTGTTAATTAATATCTATGTGTCATTTTCTTGTGTGCTTCACGCATGTAATATGTTCTAGTCAGTATCACACACCGTGTTCGTTCCTTCCAACGTTAAATTATGTCGCGTACTACTGCTATCATTACTCTTCTATTCCATACAATTTATGTATATTCACTACATGTAAATTTATATATTTATAACTCTGTTTTCGCGGCGAAATAAAGTAAATAATATAGAATATTGAGCAAGATACTAGACCTATATAGAAACATAAAATTGATATGAAAGAAGAAGAAATTTGACAGAATGTAAATAATGCAATTAGACAATACCTTGATGTATATTCAGTGGTAACCATTGCTCTCTTAATGGTAATAAATTTGTTTCATTGTTCAATTTAGCAACGTGTTCATTGATTGTTAGATATTGTGAAAAATCTGTTATATTTAACTGTTTATGTGGTACAAATAATGTCTGGTAAGAATTAAATAATTTCATAAATAATATTGAATTACCTCCTAATGAATAAAAATTTTTATCAAATGTTATTTCATCTTGATTTAAAAGTTTACACCATAATTGATGAACATCATGTTCGAGTTGAATATTTCGACTTGGTCTTTGATTATTGTTATGATCAACAACAGCAGAAGAACTTTTATTAACATAGAGTATTTGACCATGAGTATTTAACTTGGCTGTATCACCTGTTTTTAATAATTTTTGTGTAGGATCGATTTCTGGTATATTAATCAAAACTTTTTGATTCAATAAATCATCCTGTAGATAACCTTTGAATACGCATGGTCCTATTAAAAATAAAAAATATATTAAATTGAAAAAAGTAACAACTAACTGTCTATTAAGAGAACACATCCAAGAAACTTTAGTGTAGAATCAAAAACTAACATAGAAAAACAAAATCAAAGGTATCTGACACTATTCATCGTCCAAAAACCAATGGATTCAACTGACCTGGCATTCTAATACCATAAAAACGCAAGGTAGAACTTCGAGGACTTTGTGGATTTTCAAACACAAAAGTTTTCGAAAAAGCGTATTTTACAAAAAAATCCTACCACAGAGCTTTAGAAGACCAGTCTAAGTAGCTCATACAACTCATTTTTTTCCATGTTGTTTTACGTCATATATTCAAAAATTTCCATTTCATCTTGAAAAAAGTTTGAAAAGTTGTGGTATTTATATAAGGTGTTTTCACTTAAAAAAACTGATTACTTTATATATTTTTCAATGATTCTGACTTTTATACTCAATTGGGGCGTATCAACAAGATTTGTTTTACAACCATTTATTTAGCTACAGAAAAACTCAAGCTTTGAGTCTATGGGCTAACTCTTACTAGTACAGCCACAGTCCTCGAGATTGCATTCCTATAACTTCATGTTGAAACTATATACGTAAAACCAGAATTGTTATAACTATTCTGCCAAATGTCATACTATAAATTTCTCGTAAAAATATTATATACAATAATGAATTCTTACATTGATCTATTGTCACAACATGGAAAACAAATATTCATGTACTGCTGATACGACATGTTTCATTTATTCATGTTTCAAACATATGATATTAAACATAATTTTAGGTGGTGTTTTGAGGGATGCAGGGATCTTTATGAGAGTGATTGACAAAGATTGTACTGTGCTGAAACTTGTTATGAAAGTATTTGTTATGTCTCATGAATATTTGTTTATCTGTAAATATCACAGATAATCAAAAGCAAAAAAATCAAGTCTTTGTCATGTATTCGACATGACAGTGTTAAATAATTTGGTGATGCTCGTATCTTGAATATTTAACTGTAAGCTTGTCGATTAATACGATTGTTACGAAATTAGAGTAAAATTCCGTTGATATAATTTAACATTTGACAAAAAAGTTATGACCGCTCTCTATATAACATCACTATAGCAGTTCGATTAATTTCTCTAGATACGTTAGAACGTTATCACGACGTCAGTTTTCACAGAAAACTTGGCAAAATTCTTTGGTCTACTCACGTACTTAGTCAATCAATATGATAAATGTCATTTGTCAATTGAACTGAACAAGTATCATCTATACCCTTGGAAAGCAAAAGCTGGAGTCGGTATTTGGACCTTTTCGACACTCTAAAAGGATATTTTGAAAAAAGTAATTATACCATTCGATAGCCCTTGGAATTCTGTACCAAACTGTGTATTTTGATTGCATCTTGCTTGTATCTTCCGAACAATTAATCAAGTGGAATAAAGACACCCTCATGAACAGATTTCTAACCAGTCGACTTTCTCGAGCTTGAAATTCTCTATCACCCTGTATATTCACCTATTTTCTTGAAAAATATTGAGTACAGTGAACACATCGTCAATTGACAAGTGCCAAAAATCGTTACTTTTCTCCTTTTTTCAAAATATAGCCACTATGAAAGTAAATTATTAAACAAGCAATTATAGATTCTGATAGAGCTTGAAATTCTCTATCATCGTGAACTTTCAATACAAAAAACGAAAGACATAGTAAAAAAGCCACTTCTTTTTAGAGCTTGTCAAGGAACGTGCTTACGTCATACTAGAAT